CTCTGGCCACCACTACCACAGCAGAGCTCCGGGCCCTTTAAATTGCCAACAGAGCCCTGCCGCTGCTACCCCAGGGCTCCTGCAACCAGGCTTGGGCGCTTTAAAGGGCCCGGGGCTCCGGTGGCAAGGAGCCCCGGGCCCTTTAAAGCGCCGCCCGAGCCCCGCTGCCAGAGCCGTGGGGTAGCAGCAGCAGGGCTTGGGCAGCTCTTTAAAGGGCCCAGGGCTCCCCGCAGTGGGGCTCGGGAGGCGATTTAAAGGGCCCTGGGCTCCGGCCACTGCAGGGAGCCCCGAGCCCTTTAAATTCCCAGCCTGGGGAAGCCGGTCCGACCGGCTTAGTTTTATGCCTGGCCCCAGTCCTGCATTGAGTTCCCCATAAGTGGACCCTGATCCAGTGGGGCTCTGTGCTGTCACAGAGGTCTGCCCACACTCAGCTCACTGCAGGATTGGGCAATCAAAGTGTACAATTTCCAGTGGAGTTATGTGGAGAGTTTCCTGTTCTCTAGTAGTAGCTCAGAAGGCATTTTAACCACCCTAAATCTTAGAGTGTAATATGTATGTGGAGTGGCCAATCTTCAAACAACATGTCAATATTAAACAAGGTTTAAGCCAAAATTTGCCTTTATTTTTGTGCATGCATCTTTGCACATACATAACTAGCAAGTGGTCTTTGCGTACTATAACTTTTGTGCACAAATGCTTGAATGGAGCTTGTAAATTGCTTTCACTGGTGATAGTATATTTAAAATTGAAAGCGCAAATGATTGCAGATGTACAAATAGAGGTCATGCTTTGAAAATATTTAAAATTGAAAATGCCATTAAGATATCTTATGGCCCCCATTATGACCCAATGAGCTGCATGATAAATGAAGACAAGGTCAGTGTGTGCTGTAGATGACAAATTTCAAATCCATATGAAACACTATATTAAACATTAAGATTTTACTAATAAATAGTCAAAAGTAAATAAATGTCAAAAATAAGGTTGAATCTGTATTTGCTTTTCTTTGGCAAAACTTCAGATCAGTGGTGGTTTGATCCAGGTTTGACTTCAATGGGAGAATTGAGCCTCTGGTGTTCACATTATTTCATTAGGTCCTTTCTTATATTTTCCTGTATGCACTGTAGTTTCTGAGGCTCACCTGTATGCCAGCAAACCTTTCTGTGTTAAAGTCCTTGTTTATACTGTTGAGATTCATCAAAAGTGTAATTCCTTTGCCTTAAAATGACAGTTGAATTGAAAATATTGGTTGAAAATTTTGGACCTTCTGTAGTTACAGTGAAGGTTACTATAACTGCAAAAAGTTAACAAAACTCTTTTTTTCTTAATTTGTTTACAATATGCATTTGACAGCACTTTTGCGTATAGACGATTTACTGTTTTCCCTGTCTAGTCAGTCAGGTTGTCTCTTACTGTAGAGTCCCTTAACAATTGTAACGGGTGGTCACAAAACCTATTCAATTTTTATTTTTTTTATAATCAGGACATACTATTTAAAGGATGATCTCTCAGAAACTGAAATGGAGAAAATATGATCCGTTGTTATGACGCTAGGCTGGGGCTAGGGAAACGAGGGTTTCCCAGCTGTGCCACACACTTCCTTTGGCAAGTCACCCTCTGTCTGCCTCAGTTCTCCATCTGTAAAGGGATGATAGTTATCCTCACATCATCAACTGATCACATGTTACAGTGATGGGAGCTGTACAAGTCTGTGTGACATACTAGAATACAATCTAGACTAATGAGCAGCTGTGTCACCTCTTCCCTGTAACCTTGGGTGCCATATGATGCTTTGCTGAAGGAGTTCCCACCTGGGCCATTCACAAACAGCCTTCCAGCATGCAAGCCACACCCTGAGTGTCTGTGTGCAACCACAGCCTGCCAGCCACACTTGGATTACACTCTGGCTCTCACCAGTCTTGGTTATACTGCAGGGTGACCCCAACCCCCAAAATGTATGGCAAAATGTACTGCCAAGCCCTCTCCTGGACAAGTTTATACAAAGTCCATTATTTCTTTAATAGAAATAATATGCACACAACTTGCCACCCCAAATGGAGTTTCCAAAAGACTTAAATTTAAACACACTGGATTAGATAAAACAAGTTTATTAACTACAAGGAGAGAGATTTTAAGTGAGTATAAGTAATGAGGCATCAATGTCAGAAATGTTTACAAGAAAACTAAAGATAAAACGCAACTCGTGCCTAACTTAACAAACTATGTTAAAGTCAAAGCAAAGCTTTCTCAACATATGCTTTCAGCAGTCTTACTAACCAGATTTCTTAGATCAGGTCCCCTTCTTCCAGGATCCAATGAATGCTTCTTTGTCGCTTCAGGTGTCATGAATGCAATGGGCGGAGGGGGGGCGCATTGGAGTGTTTGTCCCTGCTTTTTGTATTTTCAGTACCCTTCTTGAAAAACATTTCCAGATAGGTACCAAGAGACAAAGGAAAGGAAGTTCTCTGCTGCTTTTTCCACACCAGGCTGAGCTTCCTTTGTTTCCCTTTCTGCTTGATGACTCTGTTACTGCTTAAATGCAGCTTAAGTAGAGCACACATTCCTTTGCTTGTTTGAGACAGACCTATTTGCCAACCTCAGTTTGGAATGTGTGTTAATAACACCATAGAGTGGAATCTTATAACTTCACATACAACATTGTCACACACATTTTACCAGGACAATAATAACCAGCAAATTATGAGTTTTCAAATAATATCTCATAAGGCATACTTTGTACAAAGATTATTACAATAGTGGGTAGGGTGTGGACATGGGTACAGTCTATCACACTATGCCACGTAGAATTCTTTTAATTTATTTGAAAAAGACACCATTTAATATAGTCCAGGGCTTCTACAACTGTGGGCTGGGACCCCAAAGTGGGTTGCGACCCCATTTTAATGGGGTCGCCAGGACTAGAGTTAGACTTTCTGGGGCCTGGGACCAAAGCCTGAGCCCCACTGCCCAGGGCCAAAGCCCAACGGCTTCAGCTCTGGGTGGCGAGGCTCAGGTTATGGGCCCCCCCTCCTGCAGCTGAAGCCCTTGGGCTTTGGCTCTCCCAACCAGCATGGCGGGGCTTGGACTTTGCGCCCCCCCCCCCCTCACCCCCCAGCCCGGGTGGCGGGACTCAGGTGGGCTTAGGCTTTGGTCCCCCCTCCTGGGGTCGTGTAGTAATTTATGTTGTCAAAAGGGGATTGTGGTGCAAGGAAGTTTGAGAACCCCTGATATAGTCTACTCTTGAAGTCATTTTGTTCAGTGGCATACTGACATTGAGGTTTGCTGACAACTCACATCCCAGGAACCTATCCTTGTAACAAAGCCCGATGCCAACTCTGTCCACATATCTATTCAAGTGACACCATCATAGGGCCTAATCACATCAGCCATACCATCAGGGGCTCGTTCACCTGCACATCTACCAATGTGATATATGCCATCATGTGCCAGCAATGCCCCTCTGCCATGTACATTGACCAAACCGGACAGTCTCTACGCAAAAGAATTAATGGACACAAATCTGACATCAGGAATCATAATACTCAAAAACCAGTGGGAGAACACTTTAACCTGTCTGGCCATTCTTTGACAGACCTGCGGGTGGCTATCTTAAAACAGAAAAACTTCAAAAACAGACTCCAACGAGAGACTGCTGAGCTGGAATTGATATGCAAACTAGACACAATCAACTCAGGGCTAAATAGGGATTGGGAATGGCTGAGCCATTACAAACATTGAATCTATCTCCCCTTGTAAGTATTCTCACACTTGCTTCTTATCAAACTGTCTGTACTGGGCTATCTTGATTATCACTTCAAAAGTTTTTTTTCTCTTACTTAATTGGCCTCTCAGAGTTGGTAAGACAACTCCCACCTGTTCATGCTCTCTGTATGTGTGTATATATATCTCCTCAATATATTTCACTCTATATGCATCCGAAGAAGTGGGTTGTAGCCCACGAAAGCTTATGCTCTAATAAATTTGTTAGTCTCTAAGGTGCCACAAGTACTCCTGTTATTTTAACTCACATCCTGTGTCACAAACCCTGTCTACATGAGCAAAATGTGCAACAAGTTTTCAACCAGTGTAATAGGGACTCTGGTACACTTTCATTTGTTATATTGGTCATATTAGCACAGCCTGCCCACTGTGCGTTAGAGAAATTTGCATTGGCATAATAATTAGGTGGACACAACTTTGCTGGTGCAAATGTCTCTAGAGCACACAGAGCTGGTTTGCTCCTGATACACACTCCGTTGTATTCGATGGTTTTGTTATTACACCTCTACCCCGATATAACACGAATTCGGATATAACGCGGTAAAGCAGTACTCCGGGTGGGCGGGGCTGCACGCTTCGGTGGATCAAAGCAAGTTCGATATAAATCGGTTTCACCTATAACGTGGTAAGATTTTTTGGCTCCCGAGGACAGTGTTATATTGAGGTAGAGGTGTATTTGTATGATGATAGTACCTAGCAGCCCCCTGTGCGGAGCACTAGCCAAAGACCAAACACTTGTTGCAGAGGGCATGGCGCTCTGGGGGCTGGAGCGAGCAGGGGATTTTCTCCCCCTCCGTCCCAGAGCAGATACGACTTCAGAAAGCTCCAGGGAAGGTGCCTTGCTGTAGCTCTTGGTTCTCACCGGCTTTGGATGCAGCCTGTGTGAACAGCCTCCTCTGAGGCCCTGCTGCCCCCCAGCAGCAGGGGGCGCCCTTTTCCTTGGGTCCAAGGTGGAGTGACTGGGTTTCCCTGGCCCCAACAGGGCTGATGCGGCCCTATTGGATACCCTGGGTGGGGCTTGGCCAAGAGCAGGCTCGGGGCTGGGGGAATGCAGCGGTCTCTGCTCGCTGGGGGGAGTGCGCATGCTCAGTTCGCCATCCCCAGCGCCCCCTGGCGCCGCGCACGGGGAGCCGCAGGCGGAGGGAGGCGAACCACTTCCGGTCTCCATTTTACGCCAGCTGAACAGCTCCGGGACAGGCTGAGCCGCCGCCGGGTTGTCAGGAGCGCGCGGCCGGGCTCGGTACGGGCGGGTCGGGGACCGTCGCTGCTGTTTGCGGGGAGGGAGATGCAGGCCGCGCCCGGGGGGCGCTGAGTGTGACCAGGCCTCGCCTGAGCGCTGGGCTCGGCCGCCTGCCCTGGTTACCGGCCCCGGGGGGAGCTTGAGAGGGGGGTCGCGGCCCTTGTTGCGTGGGGGGGATTGGTGTGTGACGCCCCTAACTCGCCCCTCTCCCCCCCCTCCGCAGGCGGACACCGCCCTGGCGTGGCTCGGCGGGGTCCCGCCTACTTTCCCCCTCCCTGTACTGTAGGGGCGGCTCCCACCGAGACCGCGGGGATGGGCGGCCGAAGCCTCCTTGTTAAACTCGCCCCCGGACACTGATCCTCCCGCCCCGGCCGTCGAGCTTCAGCGGCTTCGCCCCTCGCGGGGAGAGCGAGCCCGTGCGAGCAGCATGGACCAAAGCCTGGTGGGTCACCCGGTGACCCTCATCATCAAAGCGCCCAACCAGAAATACACCGACCAGACCATCAGCTGCTTCCTGGACTGGACCGTGGGCACGCTGAAAACTCACCTCTCCAAAGTCTACCCCAGTAAGCCGGTAAGTCGCTGCCTTGCCTCGTAGCAGCCTGCCCAGGGCCATACTGCCTGCCCCGGTACTCTGGGTATTGCAGCGACTTCTAGGGGCCGTGAGCAGGGCCCCATTGTCCTTGATGTGCAAGCCAAGTAAAGTTTGCAGTTGTCTTTTTTTTGGGGAAACAGGAAGCATAATCAGTATCTTTCTCCTTTTGCATAGTCTAAGTGGGGCACAGTACATTTGGCTTGAAGGGTGTAATTGTTTTAATAAATATTGTGTATTAATAGTTTGCTAATGTGCTAAGTAACTAAAATTGGACATCTCTAGGCTAACTGGAGAAGTAGATGTTTTTGGCTAAACTTCTGTAAATGGAAGGCCCCTGAGGGTTTTTTTGGGGGTGAGGGGTCACTGCTAAGTTTCACAAACCATATAATATACTTATGGAAGGGATGGGCTGCAGAAATGCTTAAACAATGTGAAGATAATGCTTAAAAAGAGCATAATGGCCAAACTTCTCTCCCCCCTCTCCTCCAACCTTGGTTTAGAAATTAGCTCTTCCTAACACTGAAGGCCATTGCTGTGTTCTCAATTCTTGCCAATACTTTTGGGACAAAAGTGGATGTTGGTTGTCCAGATATAAAGCTTTCCATTTTTACTAATACTAAAAATTAATTATTGCTGCCTTCTGAAGAAATGTTGTGACTTGCAAATTGAAAGAACTTGAAACTTCGTTTGATTCCAAATTCGCAAATTAAAAGAACTGTAGCACCCATGGGGCTAAGGAAAAAACAAAAATTGATGGTTCAAATATATTAAGTGCATTCTTAATACATCCAGAATAATTCTTGTTTGCTATTCAATTGCCATTTAAAATGTGCAGGAAGTAGTGTATTTGGTTCTTAGGCACATTGAGAGGTGAGTTGATTACACTGTATAAGTATTTTCCTGGGGAAAAAGTACAGGGTACTGAAGGGCTCTTTTATCTAGGAGAGAAAAGCATAAGAGGAACCAGACAAATTCAAGTTAGAAATAAGGCATACATTTTTTAAGTGAGGATGATTAAATGTGTGAACAAACTACAAAGGGAAGTGGTGGATTCTCCATGTCTTGATGATTTCGGATCAAGACTGGATGCTTTAGCAAACACCGGTTAAAGGATTCAGTAGTGGGTGAAATTTAAGGGCCTGTTATATATAGGAGGTCAGACTATATGATCTGATGGTCCCTTTTGGCCTTAAACTCTGAATCTATGAAACGTATATAGATTGTTATCTGAGGCACGAACAGTTTTATTTTATCTTTGTATAGCACCAGCACAGTGGGAGCCTAGGCTTGATTGGAGCATCTGGGTGCTACTGTAATACTTGGAAAAGAATAGAACAAAGGATGAGTTTGTATTGCAAATGGCTAGCATAGAGCTGGTGTAATAAAATGGTCAGCTGCTTTATCGGTCTCCTTCAAAAAGTGCAATTGTAGGATTTTGCTTTAGTGGTAAAATTGTTGTAGTTTCATCTTTGAAAAGAGGGTCTATATTTTTAAAGAAGGAATTAAAGTTGGAAGGAAAATAGAACTGTTGTGTATGCTTTGTCAGGCGTGCAGATTATTTTTTATCTAGCTTACAACATGATTATATTGTAACTGATAAAGCTACACTGACATCTGCTGGAGTAGTAAATACCCTGAGGGCAAAACTTGTGAATTTATCTATTAATTATACTATGTATGAAAGGAGCATGTCCATTTTAAAGGAAATGAACAGACACCTTCGATTGGTTACAACTTTTTCATCAATAGAAAACACTTTCCTAATATTTGTTGAACTGGTATGTGAATACACATCTTCCCCGGATCTGACATAGGCAGAGACTTGAATCAGCTTTAGGAAACAACTCTAATGCATAAGAGAATTTATATGCATTGCATCATTACTTTTTCAGGGAACTGAGCAGATTAGTGAAAACCACTTACTCCAGTTGAGTAATAAATTCCTTCTCAATGGGTCTCTGGTTACCAGGAGACTTAAGCTTTGTCTACTCTACAGCTGCAGCTATGCCATTGTAGCGCTCTTATGTGAATAACGCAGTTGGAGTCGACGTACCTTAGGTTGAGTTACTGCGGAGTATACAGCGCGGGAGGTTGACAGGAGAAAATCTCCCATCAACTTACCTTACTCTTCTCATTGGAGGTAGAGTACAGGGATCGACTGGAGAGCGATCTGCAGTCGATTCGGTGGGTCTTTACTAGACCTGCTAAATCAGCCGCCGGTGGATCGATCGCTGCTGTAGTGTAGACCTGCCCGAAATGTACACACTTTCTACACCCACAGAAGAGGTTTTTCTGTCGATGTAGATAATCCACTTCTCCGAGAGGTGGTATAGCTAGGTTGACGGAAGAATCCTTTCATCGACCTTACCACATATACACCACCAGGGGTTAGGCTGACCTGACGATGGTGCTCAAGGTGTGAAATTTTTCACAGGCCTGAATGACATAGCTAGGTCAATCTAATTTTTAAGTGTAGGCCCGGCCTTAGCACAGGGATGAAAGGGCTTTTTCTGTCTCTGTAGTAAGTCCACCACCTCGAGATGCAGCAGCTAGGTTAATGAAAGAATTCTGTCAACCTAGCAGTGTTTACACTGTGGCTTAGGTTGGCTTAGCTACATCTCAGTGCTTTGATGATTTTTTTTTTTTTTTATACCCTGAGTGACGTATCTAGGTCAACCTAAGTTTTAGGTGTAGACCAGGCCTTAATTTTACCTGACCTATTAAATATGTTTCCATGCTGGGTTGAAGAGGATGGGGAGAATGCTAATTTAATCAGTTTTGCTTTTTTGTGTTGAGAATTTCATTGTACCTCATATACAGTTACTGTTAACTAATTCAGCAAGTTCAAGTGTCAGTTGGAGTGGGATTTACTGCATATGTTTTAGTTTGTGATTGATGGTCACAGATTAAAGGAGCCTTTAAAAAAAAAAAAATCTGTGGTGTCCTATAAAACAGTATGGAAAGTATTTAGGTTTTAGAAGTTTTCTCCTCCCCTTCCCTCTAATAAAAGTTGAGTAAAACTGGCAAACTTACCTTAGCTATATGTAAGCTTGGAAAGGTTTAATTTACTAATGAGTTCTGGAAATTAATTTTTTTCCAAGTTCAATTTAAATTTTTGCACTGCTAAAACTTTTTAAAAGAAAAATGCTTTATACTGTTTTGTCGGACTTTAGTGACTGTAGAAGTTTGAGAAACAAGATTTAGAAATAAAATAATTTAATATTCGTTAAAATGCCAACAAAAGATGCACTAGTTCACAAGTGCTGCATATAGGCATAACATTTTCCTCTCTCAATTTTAATTAGTGATGGAAGGGAGAAATCAATTGCCATCACTTACTGATTATAAACTTTTCAAGCTGTTTTATATGACCCTCGTAGATCATTGTTATACCATTAGTCAATTCATACACTTATTTATGGCATATTAAAAATGATAAATGTTTTGTCCCCTCCTTAGATTTACCAGCCATTGAAATAATTTTTATTTATAAAATTATTACAAAATAAAAGTAACAAATGTGAGACTAACCAACATTGATTCACAATCAAGAGTGTTGCCTCTTGTCGTAAATTTAATATATCATTTCTAATCCATGTTTTAACTTTTGGGTATTTTTTCGTGTGGAAACATAATGGGAAGCTAAGAGCAAGAGATTGTCAGTAACCCAGTTATGATGCAAAGGACCCCAGAATTCTGAAGACTCAGGCATTGTCTGTATTAGAACAGTTGTACTAATTTATATTATTATAAAAAGGCCCCAGTTAAATCAGTGCAAACTCTTAATGTAAATGCTCTTAAACCAGTTAAACCATTGCTAAAATCTGTCTAGACTACATTGTTAATTCACTGAATTAAGATAAATGGATTTAAGTGAGGATTAAATTGATTTGTGTGTGTACATTTTAAACCGATTTAAACTAGTGCAGTTTTTATAGACAAGTCACTTGAATCACAACTTCCCCAAGGGATAAGTTTACTTGTAGGTGTAAATACTTTGGAAAAAAACTGAGTTGTGTTTTCAAAAGGTGATTCTAGAATGGTAGATCCTAGGTTCAAACCATTACAGTGCATGCATCTATTCTTTTGTATTTATGAATATTGATACCTTGTGTATGAAAAAGGTTATTTCGAAGGTTCATGAAAGAATCCAAACTTGGCATCTTCTTTTTAGTGTTTATTTAGGAATGGATGTGAACAACCTTAACTTCACATTAATGTAGTTTTTGAGTGAATTAACCTTTTTTCTGATGGTAAATGAATTATGAACACATGGGCAAAGCTTAAATTAGATTGATGACCATATTTTCTTAATAGTTACATTTGAAGGACTTTATTTACATTTCTGTGGAAAAATGGGGTGGGAGAAACCATACTTACGTGTCAAAAACTTGAATTTCTACCACCTACCAAAGAGAGCTGCTCGACGAGAAACAGAGGAATTTCCTTTAGGAAACGTAGTCCATTACCAAATTCTGTAGAGATGCTATCCTCAGAATTGTCATTACTCTTAGCCATAAATAACTCTGACCATATAGTGCAGAAATGGTTTTGCTGTAGGTTACTTCTTATATAAAGTAGACAGTAGTGTTGAGAAATTGAGCTCTGTAATAGTGCTCCAGATATTACTTTTGTTAGTATAAATAAACTCAGCAAAAATATTTGCATGTCTTTTGGAGAAGCAAGACTGGAAAGGCATAAACCACACTAGGAATTACTGAACTAGAGACTTTAGATTAGCAAATATTCATGTCATTCTCAAGATGTAAATGTTCTTTACTGGCATAGGCTAATTAGAAGTGCAGTTACATGTTTAAGTTTGTGCAAAGGGATTTATTTGATTTTTACTAGACAAGAAATATTCTAGGTGTTTTGTTCTCAAGAATCTACTCAGTTTAAGGATTATGCCAGAGAATTATTGTTTGTTAATTATATAGCTTTTGAGCAGGCAGTTGGTAACTAGATGATGTAAAACAAATTTTCATGTATTAGAACTTATATAAAGTTACCAAAGCAGGGCACCTGTATTTGACTATGCAGGAGACTACCTCATAGAAAAAAAACAGAAAGCAACTTGTACTGGCTTCCTATCCATTTTAAGGGATTTCAGCCCCCCCCCCCCCCCCCCCCCCGCGCGCTATATACTGTATACTTAGGACAAACTTTTTTTTTTTAATCTTGCATTATAATCTTATGAGGTAAGCCCTCTGGATTCTTCAGAAGTCCTCTGTGGCATTTTTCTTGTGATATGATTTTTGTCTACGTCTCCAAAGAACTTTTAAATCTTGCTGTATGTACAAAAATATGGTCTTTTGTACTATCTTTGCTGCTATAGTTAACTCTATTCCTGTGATGCTTATTCTTGTGATGTTGAAAGCCGAGGTTTTATAACAATAGGATGCTATGTTCAATGAAGTTCTTATATAACAAACACCTTTCAGCTCTATTCAAAACAATCTATTTAAATAAGATGGGTCAAAGCCAAGGGCACTAAGCATGGAGAGTAAAAACTTACAAATTATGAATGTTTTCTTAACAGAAATTAGTCCTAGCAGTGAAATGTGGAAAGAATGTAGTCAGTGTGCTACAATACAGAAAAAGTTGCTCACACTTGCCAATAACCAATGGGGCAGTATAACTTACTGTCTTCTGCTAGTAATCTAAAGTGGACTCTACAATGTGAAGACGGCACTTAGGACTTGTTTTGTCACTATTTTTCGGTACAGTTTCCACCTTTTGGTTGCTAGGACAAAACTAGTTTTGTGCATTTGTCTGATGTTCTCCACCCATATCTCCTGCAGTAAACTTTGCCTTCCTTTTCTGTCACTGATGGGTTTCTTTTTTTGAGGCAGCTTCTAGTGTGACTGTATTGAATGTGGTACATCAGAAATTGGAGTTGGAAGGAAACTTTTAGGTAATCTAGGGCAGGTCTCTACACTATAGTACATTTTCTAATTCTTTGCCCAGTATTGTTCTAAATGTTTGTAGTGATGTGGCTTTTTCCAGAAGAAAAATCTGTACCAGTGTAGTGTCCGGAGTACAGCTTGCTAAATTACTGGGGAGCCTATAAAGGTGATTGCAAAAAAAAAAATGTGTGTATTGCCTTCTGCTGCACTGAGACATACAAAGACGGTCTCAAAAGATGTTAAAAAAATATTTTGCATTAGAAATCTGGATCTCAGTAAGATCTTTGGTCCTGAATAGTGACTTATATGAGACTGCATACATAGCTGCATATTAAGAGAAGGGGGAAAGGAATGCAGAATCTTAAGCAATGTGTACACTGATAACAGGTTCAGTTGAACAAATGTTAGCTCTAGTCTAAATTAGGGGTTTGGGGGGTGGTTTACATCAAGCATCATGTCAGCAGCACTTGCTCCATATTGAGTTAGGTGTGCTGAAAAACTTTGCCAGTTATAATCTTTTTTAGCTCAGGATTCTTAATGTTGCTTGTGCTTGTTCAAGTGAAGTTAGCAAAGGTGGGGAACTTCTTTTTTAAAAAAATTCCCACTGTAGATAAGGCTTCAGGGCCCATTTAAACTAGAAAAGCTGTTCAGGGATCTAGTGGTATCCTGAAACTGTTAAAACTACTTACGTTTTGCCTTTATAAATGGAACCATACAGTGAACTTCACCAAGGCTATAGCATGATTTCGTAATTTAGTTAAAACACTTTGATCCTACCAGCAAAGGTAAAACCAAAGGGATCTTTTTCTGCATAAAGTGCCCGATACCAGTGGTGACATATAAAAATCACATTGGGTGCTGTAGTAGCGTAACTTGGTCTCCCACATATACTTTCTACTCCTGGGGAAATTTTGCACATGCGCAGAATTTGTCCCCCGCAGATTTCTTTGTTTCCCTGCAGAAAAATAACTTTCTAACAGGGAAACAAAGGGAAGCCACAAGAGGGGTCATGCGACCATCCCCAGCAGTATGTTTCGGGTGCCCAGGGCAGCTGGCAGAGAGAGAAATCACTGTGGGGAAGGGCGCGGGACTGGGGAAGACCTGGCTGGTGGCTCCTACCCTGCACCAGACTCATCTGCTAGTCCCAGCTGGGCTGGGGAGTTTGGGACTCCCTCTTCACCTGCACGGCATCTGGGGCCATGTCAGACCCACCCCCAGATTTCTCCCCCCGCTGTAGGAAACTCTGCAAACCCCCCCCCCCCCCCCGCCCCGTGCTTCCTGCACCCATCGCTTCTCAGCTGCAGGGGGAGGGATCCCTGTAGAGGGAGCTGCTCCCCCATCCACCCAACCCCTGTGCATCCCGACCCCCTCATATCCAGACCCTCCTGCTGAGCCTCACCCCCTTGCACTCAGAACCCCCTGATGAGCCTCACTCCCCCTGCACCTGGACCACCCCGACGAGCCACCCCAATCCCCAACCAACTGCACCTGGATCCCTCACTGAGCTCCCCACACCCAGACCCCACTGCCGAGCTCTATCCACCCCACACGCAGACCCCCCCTTGCTGAGCCTCACCCACTTTCACTTGGACCCTCCTGCAGAGTCCCATTACCATTGCACCTAGAGAACCCCCCCCCCCAACAAGTCCCTGTGCATCCAGATCTCCCCCACACCCAGATCCCCCACTGAGCCACCCGCACCCAGATTGACCAACACAGAACCCTCTCATCCCACACCTGGATCCCCCCACCTTTTGTTATGCACTATCAGCAGTTTTCCATAACAGTTGAAATTACAAAACCACTGAAATGTGTTCTGCAGACTAACAGTAGGTGGTGGGAATTTGCAAGGGATTTTTTTTTTTCATCTACAAATGTTGTTTCCAGCTGTAAATCTGTACAGCTGGAAAAAAGCTAAATTCCTCTCTTTGTCCCATCTCATAGTCTACAAAGGATCAGAGACTGGTGTATTCTGGCAGACTGCTTCCTGATCATCTGCAGCTGAAAGATATTCTCAGAAAAGTAAGCTTTACATCAACACCATATGATATTTTAAGCAAAACCATTGTGTGGGGGAAATAGGACTCTAAATTTGCATTGTTGTTTAACTTCAAACTTTTCATTCTTTTATTGAGATTGAGCATTTTATTAGACATGTAGTCTAAATGTGTTTAGGAAAACTAATTTGAAAGTTCATGTCCCTCTGCAGGGGAGTAGAGTTTTTTGAAGGACCGGGAGAGGGTAGAATATTTTGCATTAATTCTTAGCTAGTAGCATGAGGAATAGAATGACTGGTTTTTGACAGCTGTCCCAAGTGCTAACTTCACTGTTGGGTGATGACATAAGTTTAATTGTGGCAGCTTTGAAGCATGGATCCTGCATATGTTCACTAGAATGCTGAGTTTTGTATTGATCTGAAAACAGTTATATTTATAGGGTCATATGCTTCCCTCAATCCACAGCAGAACTCTTGGACAAAAATGGGAGTTCTTTGTTTAAATTGATGGTAGTGCATGGCTGTTCATACGTAGAAATGTGTTCTGCATAGGATCCTGACTCCTATCCTGGTATTAATCTTTAAACATTTTTAACTGCTGCTGGCTATGTTTTGCTCGTGACGGCTTGATAGTACTACACCTCTACCTTGATATAACACTGTCCTCAGGAGCCAAAAAATCTTACTGCGTTATTTATATTGAACTTGCTTTGATCCACCGGAGTGCGCAGCCCCGCCCCCCCGGAGCACTGCTTTACCGCTTTATATCCGAATTCATTTTATATCGGGTCGCGTTATATTGAGGTAGCAGTGTAATTTGGTTGGTGCACCTTTTTTTTTTTTTTTTTTTTTCTCTGCTGGTTTGCCTTACAGATTGATTTAGTTTTACTAGTTTAATTTTAGGCTCCTCTGGCTAAACTGAATTTGAACTCAGGCCTCAAAAAGAGAAAACATAGTGCGTCTTAGTACTTAATAGCTAAACATAGAAAATGTGTAGTTCTTGGTCTGGAGAGAATAGCCTGGGTCAGTACCACCAGGCAGGAAGAACTTGATCAAATGAGAATAGTGTAAGATTAGTGCATTTAGAAAAATGATGTGCTGGAGAGATTATTTTGTACCAGGAACTCTAAATAAAATCTCTGAATTTTGCCTGTGGTAGAAACCATAATGCATTTAGTTTAGTCTCATTGCTGAGGTTAGGATGCATTGACAGCAGTAAAGATTTCACCTGAAGCTATTTTGTCGGGATAAAGAAATACACTGCTGTGTAATTTTAATATGCAATACCTGAACATCAGTGAGAATGAAGAACAGGAGTACTTGTGGCACCTTAGAGACTAACAAATTTATTAGAGCATAAGCTTTCGTGGGCTACAACCCACTTCTTCGGATGCATATAGAGTGAAACAAATATCGAGGAGATATATATACACACATACAGAGAGCATGAACAGGTGGGAGTTGTCTTACCAACTCTGAGAGGCCAATTAAGTAAGAGAAAAAAAACTTTTGAAGTGATAATCAAGGTAGCCAAGTACAGACAGTTTGATAAGAAGCAAGTGTGAGAATACTTACAAGGGGAGATAGATTAAATGTTTGTAATGGCTCAGCCATTCCCAATCCCTATTTAGCCCTGAGTTGATTGTGTCTAGTTTGCATATCAATTCCAGCTCAGCAGTCTCTCCTTGGAGTCTGTTTTTGAAGTTTTTCTGTTTTAAGATAGCCACCCGCAGGTCTGTCATAGAATGGCCAGACAGGTTAAAGTGTTCTCCCACTGGTTTTTGAGTATTATGATTCCTGATGTCAGATTTGTGTCCATTAATTCTTTTGCGTAGAGACTGTCCGGTTTGGCCAATGAACTAACTTCTGTTCCTGGAATTCTTTAAAGTATTGAAATCAATGTATTTATCAACCCTTGCAGTTTAAAAGCGCATGCCTGGTATGCAGAAAAACAGTTTCTGTGTCTGACAGATAGGGATAATAATGATTACCTCATTTGTCAAATTCCTTGATGGGAAGCGCTGTGAAAATGCTACCGAAGATCCACTCAGTCGGTTTGAGGCTGGTTTAAAAAAAACTAAAAAAAAAAAAAAAAAAAAAGAAAAAAAAAAGACTAGTCAAATAATGTGTGTTCAGTTGTTAAACCTTTAAATCAGTGTGATGTCATATTACTTGAAGATGAGATGGAAAACCATGAGGAAGCTTGGGTAACATGGTATCAGAATCCTGAAATACTGGAGATATGATTATTAGCATGGCTTTAAGGTGAAATATCTATTGACAAATAGGAATTTTTTCCAAAAGGATATTTATTAATATAATTTAAACAAATCTCAACAGCTTCATAATGTTGTTCCTCTCCTGATTAAGGAAATTTTGAAATGTACACATCACTTGTGTCTGATCAAATACCACCAAACTTAATTAGATTATGACTAGAGTTAGTGGAAAACTGTTTGTGGAATTATTTTTACTGGCAATAAATCTTCTATTCCAGTTTTTTTTTTCTTGTTTCATAAAATTTTTAGCATCTACTTTTTGTGCAAAAACCTTATTTTCTGTGATTGCTGACTAGTAATGACTAAAGGCCTGAATCAGTTTAGAAAAATACAGTTCTTTCCATTCCCTGAAAAGCTATAGTAGCTCCATGGCTTATGGATTTTTGTGGTAAGCATAGATGAGTTGGCCTGTTTATATATCCTGTTTTCTCTGATACACAAATTCAAGCCATGCTTATCTGCTGGAGGAAGAGCCCATATAAATAAACCCCGCTCACCCCGTTTACCTGTCTGATTCTACAAATGTTTTCATAACGGTCTTCAGCTACTGTACATCAAATTGTTTTACTTAAAGAATTTTTCATCCCTGTATGACCCCAGAACTGAGTTGGGGGCATCTTTATCAGTCTAATTAAGAAAAGATTGTAATGCGAGGGGAAGGAAGGGAAATAAAAACTGTGATAGAAGGGAAGTGAAATATTCTTTTTTGTTCACCATATCCTCCTTCCCAAATGTGCCATCAATTGCTTTAGATTTTGAAGAAAAGAATCTTTAGCTCATGGTTTCTAGTACTTTGTCCGATTAGCCATCTGTTCTGATATCAGCTAAGGATTTGATGAATATCTACTGAAATTTTTCTCTGACATTTTGCTGTCTTGACATGGAGTGTTGTCCAAAATAGTACTTACACACATGTTGAGATGTCTAGGAACTCCTTGAGCATGTGCACCGAAAACCTGTGTACATGTGTGTGTATAGCCATAACACGTGATGGCAGTGCTATTGGTCAGTGCCACTCAGATACTAAGCTTGAAAGAACATTCTATAATGTCAAGCATTCTGTAAGTTGCAGCTGTATGGGAGGAACCTTATTAGTCAATGTGGAGATTATTTTTTGAATTGGTCAAATTCCACTGCTCTTTGAATGAGACAAATCTGAATAGCGGAGGAAGGAAGGTACCAACTAGGGAGTGGAAGCAAGAGAGGAGCCTAGGGCTAGAAATGGAGTTGACTAGAGTGGGAGTATGCAGTGGTGTTGTAGCTGTATCAGTCCCAGGATATTAGACAAGGTGAGTGAGGTAATAACTTTTATTGGACCAACTTCTGTGGGTGAGGGACACTAGCTTTCAAGCTTACACAGAGCTCTCCTTCAGGTCAAAAATAACTCTGTGTAAGGTCGAAAGCTTGTCTACCTCACCCACAGCAGTTGGTCCAGTAAAAGATATTATCTCACCAACCTTGTCTCTCTAGAGCAGGAGTGGCGTTTGTTGGGGTTTAGCATCAGGGTGGCTATGTTTGCTTGATTTAAAAAAAAGAAAAAGTGGGAATGGAGAATGTGGTGTAAAAGCAACCTTTCTGTTGTCTGTTTTGAAGAATTAAATCTGGCTATTTAGGGTTAGTGTTCTAAGCTTTAGCCTTGTCTAAAAAATAAAATACTTCTAAACTTATCCTGATAACTATTGTAATAACTGCACATTTTATTTGTGCCATGGAGTGTGCTGCAGCATGACTTCAGAATCGAGGCAGGCTCTTGTATGTGACTACTGAGAGCCCCACAGTGCAGTTTGAATATAGTCACAGCACACCTGAAATAGCTATGGCCATATCCATTTAAGCTATTTATTTCTAGTGGTTTTTTTCCTATGGAATAAAATAGATACCTGCAAATTGAGCAGTCTTTATCACATCCCTGTTTGAGAAACAGCATATTCTTGGAGAATCCAACTCTATGTACAAATCAAAAACTGTTGATTTCCAAGTCTGACTCTGCCAGTGACTCATGGTTTTGGGCAAGTCACTGTAGCTCTTTTCCTCAGTTTCCCCAAATAAAAATGGAGATACTTTCTGTATCTCATGTGGGTCAGAACTAAGGTTTGTACATCACTTTGAACAATTCTACGTACCATATATACTCGTTCATAAGCTGAATATTTTTGGTAAAAAAGTGATGCATCAAAGAGCTGGAGTCAGCTTATAAACGGGTCTACACCAAAATTTGATGATTTTAAACTCTATTGAGTTGAATACATTGGGATTTTGTTTACCTGGAGCGTTCACAGGCATGGAGCCCCTCAGCTCCCAGTGGCTGCGGTTCACCACTTCCCACAGCTCCCATTGGCTGGGACCGGCAAACCGCGGCCCCTGGGAGCTGAGGGGTTCCATGCCTGTGAACGCTCCAGGTAAACAAAACGTCCAGGCCCACTAGAGGCTTAGCCTAACGGGCCAGGAGCCAAAGTTTGCCAACCCCTGAAATATAGGGTCGGCTTATGAAAGGGTCATACAGTTTTTGTTTTTTTTACCTAACCATCTTGGGGGGTCGGCTTATAAATGAACGGGCTAATGAATGAGTATATACGGTAAGTGCTGAGTATTTATTGTTTGACTGCAATAATTATACTTAGCACTCATTACACATCTCAAAGCCACTTAAGAGCATATTTTCTATTTCACAGATGGGAAAACTAAGGCACAGAACAGTAAATGACTTGTCACCATGAGTTAGTGGCAAAGCTAGAAACAAAATGTGGTCTCCTGTTTCCTAGTGTGGTGGTATACCCATTGTACCATGCTGCAGTTCTAGAGGCAGGGACAAGAGAAATTTATATGCCAGAACGTACGCTATTGTGCATAGTGATATAGTGAATTGGTAAGAAAAATTCTGTCATAGTGGGCTTAAGTTTTAGACGTGTATGTCTATTAAATTTTGCATCATGCTGCCTTATTAATTGTGAGTTTACTTTGAAAGTAGGTTTTTAATCCCATTTAACCTAGAAACTTTCCAAATACTGTTGTTTAAACTCTTTTTAATTTCTTTAATTTTAGCAAGATGAATATCATATGGTTCATCTAGTATGTACTTCACGGACCCCCCCAAGTTCTCCAAAACCAAGCACCAGTTCTGTGTGTCATGGAGCATCGACATCTGGCAACAGCTCAGTGAGTTTGTTTTTTTTGAGATATGGAGTGGAGATTTTTCTCATTTGATCATGGTCTCTTTCGTCAGCACTTATCATTAGTTTTTAAAACCTGATTGTAAAACAATACAATGAAAGTGCAAAATGTGGTGTAAAAACAACCTTATGTAAACTGTCTATTTTGTACAATTAAACTTGGGTATTCAAGGGCAGTGCTTCAAATATTAAAATTGTAATAGAAAAAACATATGAACCCTGTTCTGGTAACTGTAACAATTCTAAAATCCCTGTAGTCTTCATTAGAAGATGAAATTTGTGACTTCAAAACTGCTATATATTTTATATTTAAACAATCCTTCTTCCCTGGAGCCTGAAAGTGGGAGTTTTCTTTACTGTGTTTGGCTGTGATAGAATAGCAGGTAAAAATGGTTCTAAGAATCTTCTTTTCCTTCATTATGGTGAGCCTCCTCTCCTTAGGTGGGAATGTGACTCTTTTTTCCAGGAGGCTGTTGAGGGTTAGCTGGGACATATGCACATGTTACCTGTGTTCTGTTGGTTGACTGTCAGTAAGCAAAAACAGCACTTTGGCAGTGACCAGCTGTCTCAGTTATTCTCACCTAACTGGAAGGCCAAGTTTGTCCCCTCTTTGACACACCTGCACTACACAGCATACAGATTGGGACTTGCCCATGTAGCTGAAGAGCTTAAGCCAATCGCTGGGCAATACTTGAGTACAATGAATTATTCAGAGGGATTTTATAAATATTTCTTTTCAAAAAGTCTACATTTATATTATAGTTTTTTAAATAATTGGCTTCCACTCTTACTGCTTTGCATTATAAACTATCGGTATGCTTGTCTGCAGAGTAATTATTTTAAATCATGTTAGTACACAGTGCCAGATTCCTAATCTAGTAGAAAAAGCATCCATCAGAAAGCAGATGGACTTTATCCATCATTCATTCTTTCTTCTGTTCTTCAGTTGTCACTCTAGTAGGTAAAACTATGTCTTGCATGCTTTTTGTTGCGGGCAGATGGGCTTGTATAGATGTTTGTTCCCATGCTGACATCTGTGGCATGTTGACCTTGTTCTAATTTCTGTTCTTCAGAGCTAGTTTAGTTTGAATGGATTTTTCTAATATTTAAACACTGTACTTTAAAAGCTAATATTAGGAGTTGGGGTTTATGAAAGCTAATATAATAACGTATTTATTAGACAAATTCTAGTCCAGGTGGCTGGTTATACTAGAAACTTTGCCACCCTGCATTCTGATCTTCATTTCTGGGTTTGTCAGGGTGACTGGCTGTCCTGACCCTTTGGAGGGAGACTTGGGTCAACTGCATCTGTGGCATAATTAATTAGCTGCTTCCCAGCCTAAGAGGGCAGGAATAAGGGGTCAGGTGATAGCTTAATGGACAGCTGGGCCTCATAAGAGGACACAGAGAGATCACTCTGGTGTAGAATCACAGGGAGCAGGCAGGCAGGCTCCTGTGGAAGGCTCTGAGCCAGCATCTGTGGAAGATTGCATACTACAGGGAACTTGGGGGCCAAGTGCTCTATCCTAGAGCCAGAAGGTCTTTCAGAAGTAGCCCAGGAAGGAGCTGGGAACTAGAGCCCAGGGGGCAGGCTGAAGAGAAGCCTCCAAAGGGTAGAAGAATCTTATTTGTTGGGACTCTTCAGTTGGACTTTTGATACCCCAGAAGGGTTTACATTTGTTTGTGACTTGGCCAGAGGGCTAAGCCACATCTCTAGAACTCATGGGCGGCAGGAGGAGCTTCCCTTGGGGGAAGCTAGCCCCCGGCTCCACCCCTTCCACCCGTGCCCCCCAGGGTGGAGCCCTGATATCTCCTCCTCCTTCCCCCCCCCCGCCTGCAACAGGAGCATTGAGCCTCCCTCCCTCCACCCAGAGGAGCCCTGAGTATCCCCCCTCAGCTGGAGAAGCTATGGGCTAAGCGCACCCCCTCTCGGCTGGAGGAGCCCCCCACTTGCCTGGAGGAGCCTCTGGCCAGCTGGGCCACGCCTCCCCTTCCTTTCCCCAGACCCCAAGCTGCCCGGGAAAAGCTGCAGCATCTCCTCCCGAAGAAGAACCTGAGCCTTTGATATGCCCCATTCAGATTTCGGGGTGGCTGAAGAGGCAGTGTGTGCTACTCAGCTTCCTGGGTTCATCAATGATCTCTCTGGAGTCCAGGGAGCTTACTGATGAGCCCAGGAAGCTGAATAGCATATACTGCTTTCTCAGCTGCCCTGGAACCTACATGGGGCATAATAAAGCAAAAACTTCCCCCGCCAAATCTGCAACTGGGTGTCTGGTGTCAGCATCAGTGCTCCACTGGCCTATTATACCCGCCGCCCATGGCAGAACTGGCTGGTGTCTTTGTGTGGAGTTACTGAGGTGTCTGAAGGAAGGAAATTGAGGCAGGGAACGCCTACAGTGCTATGCTCAGCCAGCAGGGGGCACTTAAAGGACAGGCATGACCTGCGAAACTGGGTTGTGCAATTGTTTAAGAACAATGAGAGACACTGACAACAACAACTTCTGTTAGTGATGTCCATTAGTATCTCAGTTCACTGTTAAACATTTGATTAGAATCGTTAAGTGCTGATTTATTATGAGCCAGACCAAAAAAAGAGCCCGTTACCCAACATCTCCCATTTAGATTTTTTTCAGTGGGAGCTGCTGGGTGCTGAGCATTTTTGTAAACCTGGCTTCCTACTTCTATGCCTGGATGGGCAGTTGCATGCTTTTTTGGAAAATCTGGCGCACTGATAGCGCCTTTTTTAAAACGAAAGTTTCTTGTTGCATATGTCTACACCATATATAATTGAGACTTTAGACAGCACACTTAAGAACATGCCTTTAATGCATATATAGAAATATTGAGTCCCCCTATAAGTGTGGTGAAAATATTAAAGGAAACTATTTTATTTTAAGAATTCAGAACATTCTGGATCAACAACTCCATCACCCACAAGCCAAGAATCTTTATCTACATCTATAAACTCTAGCTCAGATGGAGTGAGGCATCGTAACCTTCCACAAGCACAAAGCAATCCTGTGCAAAGCCACCAGTTCCCATATTTAATGCAAGGGTAAGTGAATTTGAAGTAATCCTCAACATCGTGGCATAGCGCTGTTTAAAATATGTATTTTTGCTGTAGATACCTCCTTTTCATTTTTTAGGTTTTTAGTTGAAATTATGGTTACTCCATAGTCTATGATGGAATGACTTGTAATTAATATCATGATCTTCAAAATTCCTGTAATCAATCTTTATATATCTTTGATTATCTAAGAGTAAGTCCCTGAGTAAGCATTATCAATGCTGCCTTCCATACTATTTTCTGTCCTACCCTCGTACACTTTGCCTCTTCTGCTGATGCTCTCTTACTTTTGGGTGGTGTGACTGATATCCCCATTTGTGGCTGAAACACAAGCAAATAAATCCACTAAGCATCAGCTGATGTTTTTTTTCCTTATCGCTTGTATTTTAATCAACAAGATTAGCTAACATTAAATTCATACAAGAACAATGTTGACTCTTAATTTTTTATGGCATACACACGTACAGAGAAGCAGTTTGACACTTGGCTCCTAGTCCACATTGGATTGAACTGTAGAAGTAATTCATGGATATCCTGGATAACAGATATAAGAGGCTGTCTTGTATTGGTGTGCAACATAACCTGACAGACTACCTTCAGGTTCTGCTAGGAAGAAAAAAATCTGCTTTGTAATATGGCAGGAAAATTTATGTAATATGTTGCACTGTGAATATTTATTCCTTGGGTAAATAGTGACACACTTGTCTTTTGAGGAAACTGGGTGAGGCTAGCTTGACTGTCAGGGAAACTGCTCAATGTAGAGTAATAAGCTCATTCTCAAGGTAACCTGTGGTATGTTCATCATATATAGGGGCTTTTCTTATAAATCGTTTTTTTTTGGGGGTGGGGAGAGGTGTCTGGGGGAAGGTTGGATAAATTCAGCTTTTCACATGAACTTGCCATACAGGCCATAAACATTTCACCAGAGTGCAATCTAAATAAATGAACTAGACCATTTGTCCCTCTCACCTGCAGACTGACACTAAAGTCCTTATACTAAAGTCCAGGTGACTTGAAATGCACTATTATAGAAAAGTAGGCTTGGTATGTTAACACCTAGAGGCATGGCTAAGGGTCAGTTAAAGTGAACTGTAAAAAGTTATTTGATGTTTTCTCTAGAGAATAATTTAATGGAACATTGTCAGGTTGATCCATGTTTTTTTTAAAAAATCTTTAGCTGTGGGTTACTAGACACCAGACTCACTAATCGCTGAGTGATTATTTCATGCCAGTACCAATCCTATCTGCTGTCTTTGTGTAGACAGCAGCCCTCTTAATGATTTGGGTTAATTTGAAGCCATTAGCCCCTTTGTTTTTTTCCTAGAGAGAGCAGAGTCTAAGACTGTACATTGATTACACTGCTCTACAGCCAAAATGCTTCTGAAATAAATGTAGTCAA